GCGCGCACGAGTGTGAAACACCGACATCTACGGCGCGCGCACGCTGGCACTGCGGTGAAAATCGTCAAAAGTCGGCAACGAGTTCTGTTGGCTGACGCTGTTGTTGGAAATTCCACGTTGTCATGGAAGGTGCCAGTTTATGCGTGTAATAATGTCCTCGACACGGTGGCAAAAGGTGTGTGCAATGATGCTATTTTTGGGGTCGTTCCAAAACTTTGGGGGAGCGGTGGTGGGTGCACGGCGTGATGGACCAGTTGCCCGAGTTCAATGACTGGCCACGTTTTAAACCGTTAACATGTAGTAAGGTCAGATCAGCTACGAGTGACGAATTCCATCCACGCACAGAGAATTATAATCAGAATGACGCTGTTAAAGCAACACATAAAATGACCTTCAAATACCTTTGGCGAGCAACCACACATTAACACATGACCTTCGCATTATGTAATAATAACATTTAATATACTTAAGGCTCTCCGTTACAGGTGACTGGCTGTGTAAAAATTAAAAACGCAGGGTTGCTAGGTCGAACACATTCCTCTCTGGCTCCCGATTAGTGCGGCTAAGATGCTTGCAGTGATGGATATATGTAGAATGTAAAGGCCATTTCTAAGTGGGTGGGCCCGCATTGCATCGTGTCAGTTGGGCCGGATAAAGGACGAGTAACTCAGCTTACATGGATACAGTTTTGATTAAAATAGTAAAAATAACTTGCGGCCCTTTTGTCTCTCGAGAGGACGAAGGCTTCCTGACACCGCGTCAGTCGTGGGGGGAGCTCATGGATTGCTCGTATTTAATCATGCTGACCAATGCAGGCTGGTGATGAGGTGGGAGAAGACCAGGACCGGTATGGATATCACTTGTTGACTGATGTTAGCCCTGGCAATCGAAGTCAGGGTCATCGGGTTCATAGTGCAGTACTGGAGTAAGGTGTTCTTCATCCTGCTTATTATGTCTACGGTAATTTGTTTTCTGAAGCCCATGTGTGATGTCCCTTGCCTACCTTTCTGTGGTACGTCAAATCGCTGACGTTCAACGTCTGATGACGAATACATTTCTCCTAAAGAGTGTCCAGAGTGTGAAAGACTTCACTCATTCAGGTTCACCCGCCCGGATGAGGTGACACCAGATGTCCCGATTACTGCCAATCTGGAAACTTTTCTGCGGCGCAACGTGAGGGACAGGGGGGGGTTTGTTTTTGAGCCATCGGCGACCTTCACGCTTTCGCTGCCCGTGAAAGTCGCTCTTAAAGAGGGCGCGCGCGGAAACGCAGTGAGCGACGCCACCAAACAGCAACCCACACGGCCACGTGCGCCACCCGCTCTGACTCTGCCAAGGGCCCCCGCCGTCGCGCTTGCTCTCTCTCTCTTTCTTTCTTTCCAACTCGATGCCATCTCCTCGCCGATTATCAGCTCCCATATCACGTGCCAACGCTGTGTCGTAATAGTCGCCGCGCGCTGAGACGTCAGTCGGACGCTTCTCATTTCTGCCAAGCGGCATTGCTTGCGAGACGAAATTGCGCTGTGCGCTACGTACGGGCAGGGCTCAATTCTCGCTGAATATTTTGTCGGTCGCCGGTGAACTGAAGTAGGCACGTAATAGTCACATCCATCGCGAGGGGAATACTGGATGCGATGTGCCGGGTTGACCAAGGAACATGCAATTTCGGCCTTAATGGCGTCACAAATCGGTACAAATGTCGATTATTTCAGCCTTCCCGTTACATGCTCAGCCTGCGGTGCCACTGCCATGAGTGGAAGGTCTTTTGTTAAATGTCCTATGTTGTTTCTTGTAGTCGATATTTTCTTTCACCCATGTGCGGAATTTCAATGTCAAAACCCATTTTAGCACCGTGAGATTTACATCACAGGTGTGAGGCTCTATATATAAAAAATAAATGATTCAGTTTATTTATTTTGGTATAGCCACGGCTCCGAGCGCGACATTGACTTTTCCCCAAATCTCCACCCCTTCACCGACTCAACATGAGGGTATCAATTATAAGACGGCTGTCACTTTCTTCAAGCACTTCAAGGGATATCCTACGATTAATGCCTCCTGGTTTTAAAACAAATTATCCTATTAATGCGGCTCCCCCCCCCCCCCCCTAATAAAATGTCACGCATAAATATTTGAATATGTCGTACTTTGACCACAAAGTCTTCCTTCTAATTGCCATTCCATAAATTGTCAGTCCATACAGGAGCCTGAGAACATCAGAGGCCGTTGCGCAATCCTGGTGGACTGTGCTGCCCCCATTCACCGTATTAATTACCCAGGCCTGGCACCCTCAAGTTTTCATGTGGCCTATGCGGGCAGCATTTTGGAAATGACGCTGCGGTACAGGACACTGTGGGCAAATGTTTACGTGACGTTGATTCCTCGTCTCACCGTGGTGGAATGCTGGCCCTGGTTCCACTATGGTGGAGGTGCGGAGAAAAGTGTGGTGGCTACGTGTTAACCAAGAAAAGAAAAATGCACGCAAATGTAGTCTGCATCGCTTTCCAATGTGCATGTCCTTGAAAGTATTGAATTTACCATTTAATAACGATTTTTTTTAAAGTTCTGAATGACAATGCAACTTTATAATAAAATATTAATATTGCATCATCTTTATGAGAGTAATCGTGAACCCCATTTATAGACAGGCGGACAGAGCTAATGCATTAACGCTTCAAACCTAAGTAGCAAAGCGTTAAAATGTCAATGAAAACTTATTGAGAGAAGGCATTACGTTTGGGGCATTCCTGCGGCACAGTTATTCGGTGTGCAGGCGGTGCAACTGCACTGGGGCCCGCACAACAGTGGGCTCAGGGCTACGGAAAGGGGAGGGCGGATTCCTTTGCACCACGGCCCATGCCAGCCATGCCACCAGAGGCATCTCTCCTAACTTTGTGACTGCATCTCACTCCCCACCACCTCCTAAAACCTCTCATAAATCTCCGCTCGGTGGGGAGACCATGCCTAGGCTATCCCTGCTGCTTGATACGCCGTCCCCCTCAGTCATCCGTACGCCCCAAAACCCATTGCTTAAGTTGACGACGAAATAACACCATCTCCTCCTGCAGCGAGGACCGATTCTGCGCACTCCTGAGATTGCTCACAATCATCAGTGCATCGTCATTTTTTGTTTTATCACCAAACGTAACTGTTGAAGACAACAATGACGAATCTGAAAACCCTGGTAGCAGGCACATATATATATATATTTTCCCACTCTTCTGTCCCAATTACATTCGAATGCCGTGTCAGAGACTGGAGTCTGGAAAAAAAGACATTGCAGGGCTGTTTCTGAGTTCCCCTTAGCACACTCTCTAATTCACACTGTTCACAAACACACTAATGTAACAGTAACATCGGAGGTTGCTTAACTCGGCACAAGATGGTTAGCCGTTGCGGGGAATCGAACTCAGGGCGTTGCGTATGAACCAGAGTGCATTGGCGCGAACCGCCCAGCGTCATCGCTCCACGCAGGGTAATGCGAACGGCTCGCAGATGGTTGCTGGAACCGTCACAGTGGTTTGTCGACGAACACCGAGATGAACTTTTGGTTGACTCAGTGGAGGGTACACGGGAAGAAATGAGCCATTCGGGCGACTGAATGAGGGCGAGCGGAAGGTGCAAGGCGGCTGGTGGACAAGTGGTGGCCAATGAGTATGCATATTGGTGGGGCACGGGTAGCCCTGGGGGTAGGGGCGTATATCTCATGTCATAAATTAATTCAAGTGTAGCAGGGCACGGCAGCCAAGGGGCCCGAGGCTGCTTCCCCCCCCAGTCATTTTCCCAAAACAACTAACACAGTGCATATGCGAGTGCCCCCTATCTGCTGTACTAATTTAATTTAACCCAGGAATGCAGCACGAAGTGTATTATGTTAAAAGTGCATGGTAAATCAGGAAACATTTTAAATAATTTTATTCTTATCACACCCCACGGTATGTATAAAGCACCTTCTCCAACTCTCATCCACTCTACCTCTATGGCCCATGTGCAGCGAACAAGGGTGATTGCGCTGAAACGTCACCTATTACATACATACTTGTCTTTTTTAAGGCCACAGTGTTATTGATGAATGTGTTGAGTTTTTTTTTTATTATTGTGCTCATGCCCTACTGCCTACGCAGCAGCAACAGATCATTGTTGTATCAAGTGACAGCGCAGCGTCACCATTTCACAGCGGGTGGTGAGGACAGCCCTGGTGCTACGGACCTTGGGCAGTGGCTTCGTACGTGATTCACATTTTATTTTTGAGTCAGATTGCGCGAGTTAAATGTGTGTCGACAACCCTCCTCCACCCGACGAAGCCAATTGATAAAGTTGTCATGCGAACACACTTGCCAATTTGTTACTGCTTCAGCACACCGGTGTGTTGGGAGAGCAATCCGCACACATTGAGTACGACGTGACACTGTTAGTTAAAACCAGCATCATCAGGCAGTTGCCAGAAGTCAAAAAGCAAATATGAATCGTAACGTTGGTCCGCATTTTTTACTTCCAAACACGAGCGGCCACTATTGCAAACCTCTTCTCGATTCTTTGATGCTAAAGACCCCATAATGTGAGGTTTCGAATGGTATTGTTTATTTTTTGTGCACCCATTTTCCTTCGTCTGTAGTTGGATCAGCACCATGTGGCCTGTAACCACAAGATGTGGTCACCGCAGGTTTTTCTTATTTATTTATTATTAGTACTACGCTTGTTTACCCAGGAAAGCATCACTAAGTCTGAGTGGTCGCTGATCGGCTATGTGTTTCCCAATCAAGTTGTTTTGCCTCAAATGTGGGTCGTGATGCCGGCACACAATGGCCGGCCTACTCTTCTTCACGTGACGTCACAGGAGGGTTCTTTATCGTCCACCCTGAGTGAAGCAGACGGCACGTGGTGTTTTTACAGTCGATTCACGCCCGTGTGGTATTAACGAGGGCGGCTGAATGGGGTGGGGGAGGGGGCAGAGGAGGTGGAGGGGTGAAGGTTGGGTGGACAAGGTGCTGGGTACTTACGGTGTAGGTAACGCTACGCTCCAGGGTCACGTGGTCTCCCACGGAACTGAATCGCATCATCGCGTGGGGAACGGTCGACTAACATCCGGGAAGCAGGGCGACTGTCATCCGGGAAACTGGTCGACTAACATCTGCTCACGAGTCTATCGCCATTCGGAGGGCTGCTGTGTCATCGGCATCCAGGTGAATTGTAAACTACGGTATAATTTAAGTAATTGGTGAACTAGCATCTATGTTATTGGTTCCTGAGCAAATAGTAAATTGGCCAACTCATATCCAGGTATTGGTCGACTCAATTCAAGGCAGGGAATTGATCAGCAACTATTCAGGTGATCGACTATCATCCAAAGTTGACTAACATCCAGATAATTGGATGACTACTATCCGAGTAACTAGGTTGAATAACATTCAGGTAACTGGTCGACTGCTATCCAAGTATATGGTTGACTAACATTTGGGCTTCTGGCTGATTAACATCCAGGCGGCCACTTGACCAGCATCCGGGTAACTCTTTGGTTACCACCCGAGTACTAGAGCAGGAGGTCCAACTGGCGTCCGGCAAAGCTGGTCACCGAACATCCTGGTGGTAGCAGATGAACTAACATCCTGGTGGCAGCAGATGAACTAACATCCTGGTGGTAGCAGATGAACTCCTGGTGGTAGCAGATGAACTAACATCCAGGTGCAGCAGGGTTTGTTGGCATCTCAGTGAGAGTAGCCGGTTGGATTTAAGTCCGTGGGTTTCGGTTGCCTCTGCGAGCCGACGTTTGCCTCGTCTGGAGATGCGCTTTGAAGTTTTGCCAGGGGGGGATGTCCACCCTCAACAGTCACAGCGAGGTCCCTGTTGAGACACAGCAACACCATACCGTCTTTATACGTAATCATCCAAAACATTATCAGCCGTGATTTATCCACTGCGTGATGAAGGCCTCCTATCCCCACGTCGTCGCCACCTTTGATGGTGTCACGACCGCGAGTCAATCGATTTCGCACGTGCACACGATCCCATCTCGGAGCTCCATCTCCGCGTTGGATAGCCCCTCTGGGGTGTTCCCTACTGTGGCATATACTGGAGTGTACACACTAAGTGGCTCGGGCCATACCTATCCATACAGTCTGTAATAAATAATGCAGTCCATCCCTAACCGCAGAGTCTAAACCTCAGCCGTACGTGCACGTAGAGCCCTTTTCATCACTCCACTGCTGGATTGAAGGCCTCCGCAGGCTATGCGGGTTACGGCCGTTTAGTTGAACATACGCTGGTCAGCGCAGGTTGCTTTGACGTGGGAGCATAGAACCACAGCACAACAACGGACTGCCCTTTGCTGCCCACAACATAGTCCCAGCAGCAGGATGGTTGTCCATCCGAGCGATATCCAGCCTCAATCCTACATAGCTTCCGAAATCTGATGAGATGTGGTGCATTTTGGGGGTGTTTGATCACAGGCTTAGTCGTACTGTTTGTGCTAAACAATAACAGTCTATATGCCTGGCAGTAGCGCATTGCGCTTTGAACTCTGGCTACTGGAGTTCGAATCCAGACCACGGTTAACATCAGTGGCAAGTGATATCTGAACCACCCCCTACCGCATCTCTCCTCGGCCACCCCTAAAGCAACTCATACTGACTAGCGTGGTGAAGTATGGTCAAACAACCCCCATGACAGCGTGGGGAGGGCTTCATCAAGCAGTGGATTTACACACGGTTCCATATTATTAATTATTATTACTATAACCATAGTTTTCACCTAAATCTCAGAGTCGATGTCTTATAGAACAGCCTCTACTGTCCTAAATAATACAACATAGGAGGAGGGGGCAACGGGATTAAGCGTCCCCCCCACCATCCACCTCCACCCACCCTCTCCCCTCCACCCTCCCCCACCCCGTCCCCCTCCACCCCCTCTCCAGCACCCACTCCACCCGCCCCCCTGTCAACACGCAGTTTTTGTGAAAGGGCATCGAAATTATGTGAAATCCCATCATGGAAAGGAACATCGGTGTTTTGCGCGACGACTGTCATGATGAGGGTGGTGTTTTGCCTTCGATCAAATAACGTGAGCCTTATATCGTCAGGGGTTCTTGGAAGCGAATAAGCAGGGTTGAGCCTGGTAGGTTATAGTATTAGGGCTTGCCAGGTGCTGTAGGTTTGGACTGTGGTGTGGCCAGGAGATGGCCGTGCTGAGTATATATATACACACGTGGTGGGATTTCTACGGGTTATCCAGTTTCCTTCCACATGAAGCCAAACACTCAGAAATGGAATTGGGCCATAGGCGAAGTTTGTGGGGTGGGGGGGGGCACGGGGGGGGGGTAATGTCCCCCCCTCCACAAACTGGACACCTTTATACACTTATTTTCGGTAGTTTACAAAAAATATTTTAAATAAATAAATTATATACAGCCGCGATTCCTAATGTGAGGGACAAAGCGAACCCATGCACCTCCCGCCCCCCAAATCGAGAAGTCAAACTCCCCTCTATGAATCAGGCCAAACATCCCAATCTGGCAAGAGTCTCCTGACAGAGAGTCTTGAGAATCAGCGAGGCTTTCCCGTGTAAATAATTGGCGTTATTAGAATGTGTTATAGAACATCATAATTCTCCTCTATAAATGTGTTGGCCCGCCACGCGCGTTTTAGGCCATGCCCTTTCTCCATGCAATGGTTAAGGTGAAGAAATATTTGCCAAAGCAAAAAAATATTCACGTTTTGGCCGACGTAAATTTGAGGTCAGTATTTTCCATCTGGCGACTGTGACACATGGGTGTGGGCCTGGAAAGGTTTACGCGTATTAGAATTCATCTGCAAAGCACAACCATGAGAATAGGTTATCCAATTTTTTTATGGCAACTAAACTGGTGTTACGATGTTAAAACACCAAACTGAAACCTTTTACAACGAATCAAGTCTGCAAGGGGAAAACCTATTCTCATATTTTGGTACTGGTAAAAGAGGTCCCATGATGAACCACAACCAGTTAACAGAGTGTAACTGTGTCCACAATTGTTCATCGTGGCGTTTCCATGCTCTTAAGAGTCACCAGTGAGCCACAGTCACTTTACACCAACTCTGTAATGGGGCAGGATCGGTTTCACGTTTCCTAACGCTGCCCAGCGAATCAACAACCAACATTGATCAATTGCAGAACAAAGTGGTTTGGTTTTATTTCCTCTCCTTATCGCTCATCAGCAACCGACAGCCGATTAGAATGCAGTCGTGTAACAACACAGCGAAGAAGCATGAACCCGTTTGTCGCCTCTTAGCGCTCATCAGCGAGTTATTGCCGTTAACGTTGTGTAACCACACAACTGACGGGACGGACAGTGACTGGCTTCATCGCTCTGAGTGCTCATCAGCGAGACAAAACTACATTTACACAATTCAAGTCTCTAAACATGTGTTTTCTACGGCAATGACCAAAGATATTAATATATATCACTCATGAATTTAGGGTGGAGCGGTGTCGCTGTTGTTGTGTACTGCGCTATTAATCCCAATGAGCAGCTGTTGATTCCAGGTCACGGCTAACATCAATGGCGAGTGCTATCTGAACCGGCCATGCCCCCCCCCATCACCCCCACTTCTTTATAGGCGTTGGGAGACCTTCCTTCATCCAGCAGTAGATAGCCAAAGGGCTGTAACAGTATTAATACTGCTTTTAGTAAGTTGATCTGAGCGAACGTGCTACATACACGTGCTATGTTCAGGAAATGCAACTAGCCAAACAGTCCGCAAGAATAAGGGCTTTTGGCAAATGCAAAACTTCGTGTACTGCATTGGAGTATCACCATTTGTCCACTGCTGGATGAATCCCCTCCCCACCCCACATCGTCGCTCCAACTCGGCGCTCCGCGGCCTCTCGGGCGTGATGACCAACCCACCGCGTGCTTCACTCCGCCATTCGTCGTCGACCACTGTCCATCACCAAGCCCATTCTAAATGATGTTCCCTTCCTGAGCCAACTCTGCTTAACGGTCCATCCGACGTGTGCATGTTCTCTGATCTTCCGCCTGTTTCCCTCCTCTTTCTGTCTTTCAGTGGCATTCAAAGCGTGCACCTTTCCACGTTTTCGACCCGTTTGTTGCATTATGCTCGTATTTACAAACGTATAATTCAGTACACGTGCATTGTGTGTTCCGTTGTACAATGTCCAACGTCTAGGCTTCACCAACCGCACTGGACTGACCAACATGGTCAATGTGTGGTCAGCGTTATGGCATGCGACCAACACGGCGTGGGAAGACGTTCATCCGGCAAGGCATTGAGGAAAAAAAAGTGTGTGCATGTACAGTTGCACATTCGTGTACGTGTCTGACACGTGCACTATGAAAAACAACTTAAGTCAGAAAAGTTGTCATTTGGTTTCTCAGTAATGTCGGAAGTCCCATATTTCACACGCCAACCGTCGACATTCTGCACGTGCAACGAAAACACCAACGGAGTGAATACTGGTGCAGCATCGACATCAGACGTTGCTAAAGTTTTCATATTCGAGTGTGCCTACTTAAACGCCGCATTGCAATTTAAAATGGCAGTGTCTCTCTCTCGGAGGAGGAGGAGGAAACAGGTCCGAGAAGGACGCCCACCGCGGAGACGGAAGCAATGAGTTCACGCCACTGGGCAGGGAGGGAGATTGTGAAAGATGGCGTCGGATTGGGGTGGCCTTCATCCAGCAGTGGATAGGTCACGGCCGGTGACTATGATGACACTCCTCGAAAAAAGGGAAATCGCGCGGCTCTCGTGCGCTCTGCTCGTGGCACTGCAATCGTCTTATGGAAACTCCACATTCCCGTGACGGTGGCCAGTTTATCCATGGCACAGCAGCCACTTTCCCACCACCCTACAGACCTGCATGCAGGCATCCTTTGGTGTAAAAGCACGTGTGCGCCTCTCCGAGACCGAACGTCTCATTTCCAAGGGAAGAGAGGTGCGTACGCGTAAAAAAAGGTGATCCATTTATAGACGCCCCCCTGAGTTATAATCTCATAATCCTCTTGCTTTATTATCAACAGGGTGATTGAATATTGTGAAAGCGATGCCCCCATATATATGTCACAGGAGAGCGTTAATACATTGAACACGTGCATTAATATTGGTGAGAGCCTTGGACACTCGTCGACATGCCAATGTATTAGTCTCGATAATTTTTCCATTTTTTTATTTAATTGGGTATCCATACACGGACCACCCTACATTTATAAAGGCTTTCTCTAGCGTGTGCAAGGCCGCTACGACTCGTTGGCGAGATGCTATCTCTCTCGCCTGGTATGCAAGAGGTCATGGGTTCGACCCTGACGATGTCTGTATATTTGGAGTTCGCATGTGGTGGTGGTGCTGGCGTGGATCATTCTCTGGGTCCTTCGGGTTTTATTCCCCTCCACATTTAGAAACATTCGTTGAGATTGTTTGGCCGCGACTATAAATTCCCACGTGTGACGACGAGCCACTTGGACGAGCTATCTTCAAGTGTGCCCAGGTCGCCTCGAACAAAAACGAGCACCAATAGCTCAGTTGACTTTTACCTGGTAAATAAAAAAATAGTTTAGATTTTAAATCTTAACATAAAGCTTTCGTGACTGCAGGAGTTAATATTCTTTGGGTCTTTACCAAAAGACTAAAATCTAAACTATATTCTTTGGGTCTTTACCAAAAGACCCAAAGAATATAGTTTAGATTTTAGTTTACCGCGGTCTAATTTTCACCAAAGTTCTGAGCGCGCCACAATCGCAGGTATGTCCCCCCACCGCCCCCCACACGAGATGTGAATCGCTCCGGGCTCTTACGTGGTTATATAAACATCACTATCTGTGTCTGTATCTGTATCTAGTTGTCTATCTCGTGTGTGTGTGTGTGGGAGAGCGTATCTCCTGGGGGGAGTGGTAGTGTAGCGGCGACCCGAGTTCGATTCCCACTCGCGGGCAACACCACCAGTGACGATTATCTGAACGGGTCCTGGGCCTCCCCGAGGTCGACTCAGCCTTAAATGAGTACATGGTGCGGTGTGTAAACATCGCCACTGGGGAGACAAAGGCGGCCGGGCGTGGTGCTGGCCACCCACCCCCCTCGTGTACCGTGCCGGCCTTCATAGGTGCTCGCTAACAGCACTTGCCCCTACAGTCTGTTAAGGCTATACGGGGGATCTTTGTCTTCGTTTGTACCTCCTGTGTGTGGCATCGTGAGTGGAGGCACACAACCACGCACCTTGCATGTCGAGTCGGCTCCAACTCGCTCCCCTCCTTCTCCTCCCCGGGTTGTCCAGGTCTCCAACAGCTCCTTGGTAGTTCCACCAGATTATCAGCGCCGCCTCAACGCGTCCAAAGGTTCATCGACGGATGTACGAGGTCCTCAATGAGAGCCCCGATGGGTGCACATGCTGCTTAATGAGTGTAAGTTGCTTCTCAAGCAGTTCAAGGCTTCCCCAATAAGTCCAGAGGGTTTCTCAAAATGGTTCACGACTTCTTCCTCTGAGGTCCACCAGGGAGTATGATCTCCAATGGCTCAGTTTCAGTTCCTCTAAAGGGTATTCGCGTTTGAGGCACCAGGTCCTCCAGTAGTGATGTAGCAGGTTCTGCAGTGACAAGCGTCCCCCCTGAGGTCTAAGATGCCGTCGGGTCTCGCTGAGGTCCCCAGATCCCCCTGGCCGTCCCGGGAACAGGATCTCGACTGGAGTCTTCAAGTGTCTCCAGGAGCCGAGCCCACATAACCTGCCAGGAGCCAGATATCACAGCGACCAGCCCCCCCCCCTCGTCCTCGGACAGAAAAAATTAGGTCACGTTCCACTCTCTGCGCGTCCCGGTCGCGACCAGGGGAAGCGAGGGTGGGTTCGACTCCCAAGGAATGGCTCGTGGCGCTGGATCAAACGTCGATGTGGATTCTTCTAAATGGTCCGAGAGAGGTGCCGGCTGGTCCGGGACGCCCCTAGAGATCTTCTCTGGATCCTGGCTGGGTCCGCGTCGGTCCGGGTCCTGCTGTATCGCGTTCGCGGCGTCTCCCCTCGCGTCTCCCCTCGCGTCTCTCCGCGCGCGTTTCCGTTCCTCGGCTCTGGGGCCGCGGAGTCGCGCGGGATGGAGGCGGGGCCCTGGGCGGAGAGGAGCGTGTGTGTGTGTGTACACGTGTGTGTGTGTGCACGTGTGTGTACGTGTGTGTGTGTGCACGTGTGTGTGTGTGCACGTGTGTGTGTGCACGTGTGTGTGTGTGTGCACGTGTGTGCACGTGTGTGCACGTGTGTGTGTGTACGTGTGTGTGTGCACGTGTGTGTACGTGTGTGTGTGCACGTGTGTGTGTACACGCGTGTGTGTGTGTGTGCACGTGTGTGTGTGTGCACGTGTGTGTGTGTACGCGTGTGTGTGTGTACGCGTGTGTGTGTGCACGCGTGTGTGTGTACGCGTGTGTGTGTGTGTGCACGTGTGTGTGTGTGCACGTGTGTGTGTGCACGCGTGTGTGTGTGTGCACGCGTGTGTGTGCACGCGTCTGTGTGTGTGTACACGTGTATGTGTACGCGTGTGTTTGTGTGTGTGCACGTGTGTGTGCACGCGTGTGTGTGCACGCGTGTGTGTGTGCACGCGTGTGTGTGCACGTGTGCGTGTGTGCACGTGTGTGTGTGCACGCGTGTGTGTGTATGCACGCGTGTGTGTGTGCACGCGTGTGTGTGTACACGTGTATGTGTGTGTACACGTGTATGTGTGTGTGCACGTGTGTGTGTGCACGTGTGTGTGTGCACGCGTGTGTGTGTGTGCACGCGTGTGTGTGCACGCGTATGTGTGTGTGTACACGTGCATGTGTGTGTGCACGCGTGTGTGTGTGTGCACGTGTGTATACACGTGTGTGTGTGCACGCGTGTGTGTGTACACGTGTATGTGTGTGTGTGCACGCGTGTGTGTGTGTGCACGCGTGTGTGTGCACGCGTGTGTGTGCACGCGTGTGTGTGTGCACGCGTGTGTGTGCACGTGTGCGTGTGTGCACGTGTGTGTGTGCACGCGTGTGTGTGTATGCACGCGTGTGTGTGTGCACGCGTGTGTGTGTACACGTGTATGTGTGTGCACGCGTGTGTGTGTGTGTGTGCACGCGTGTGTGTGCACGCGTCTGTGTGTGTGCACGCGTGTGTGTGTACACATGTATGTGTGTACACGCGTCTGTGTGTACACGCGCGCGTGTGTGTATGTGCAACACGCGTGTGAGTGTATGTGTGTACACGTGCGTGTGTGTGCACGCGTGTGTGTGTGCGCGCTTGTGTGTGTGCACGCGTTGTGTGTACACGCGCGTGTGTGTGTGCACGCGTGTGTGTGTGTGCACGCATGTGTGTGTGTGTGCACGCGTCTGTGTGTACACGCGCGCGTGTGTGTGTGTACACGTGCGTGTGTGCACGCGTGTGTGTGTACGTGTACATACACGAGTACACGTGAGTGTGTGTGTGTCCACGTGTGTGAAGGCGCGTGTGTGTATGTGCACGTGAGTGTGAACACGAGGACGTGTGTATGTAGTGGGGTGCGGTGGTGTAGCTGTTGGCGCACTGAGCTACGAACCCGGCGGCCCGAGTTCGACTCCCATTGTCAGATTAAGTACCTGTTGCAGGTTTGTCAACATCGCCACTAGGAAGACAAAGGCGCCACCCTCGTGGTGATGGGGGGGGGGGCTCGCTAACAGCACTTGCCCCAGCAGTCTGTTAAAGGCTGTACGGCGGCATCTTTGTTTATGTACACGCGTGTTAACACGTGCCAATAAGATGGGTACACACACATCTAAAGAGTGTGCGCGCGTGCGTGCGATGGTATATGCGCGCCGTCCTGTCCACTCAACGCACAGCACGAACGCACAATGCTCTTCTTGTATGTACGTTGAACTTTTTCGCACCGTACGTAGCCAACCGTGTTAATCGGAGGTTCGCGGGAAGGACAACAAACTGAACACAGAATGCACTTTCAAAGAAACGAGTTTTCCATCTGTATACATTTATGTATTGTGGAAAACGCTTGAGTGCACGTGTGCACATGCAAGTATACGTGTGCGAACGTGCAAACTAAACATCTTCATAAGTGCGGGAGCGTGCACGCGCGAGTGTATATTCGAGATAAGAATTGTGGAAATCACAATTCCCCCCCCCAACCCGCCCGCGCGCCTTACCCCTCGGCGATTCATATTCGCAGGTGGGTACATTTTACATGTTATTCTTATTTAAGTAAAACATCGTGATGGTGACCGAAGCGGCCTCTAGCGGTTGCAGGAGTCACGTAAAACTCATTACCTAGGACGTGTACGAATGGAAAATAAACACCACATCGGTCGATTCTGACGCACGTGATTCGTGTGCACGAAGCGTTTCTCTCAACAATCGGTATTAATCGATTAATCAAGGCATCGGGTTTAGTCAGCTCACTTGGACGACGATCCGGGCCCGAGACCCGAGTTCGCTTCATAGTCTATACACTAAATAATATATAACAAAATGGTATCAGGCAAGGCCCACTGAGCTCTGTATCTCTTTTTAGAAGCGACCTGCCCACAAATTATAGCTCAACGAAGTGGCTTATCACGTGTGGACATTTATAGCGTCACGATGATGTACAAGATTAAACACATTTTTAGTCATACTGATGCGTTGGCAGCGATGCGCCAAACACAGTTACTGGAACAGAAGAAAACGCACACTCGTCAACAATGAACACATACATACGGTATAATCGGGGACGTTTTGGGAAATGGCCCTTCTCCGTAGCACATAAACCTGTACAACATCAGTTGGGGCAAGTGGTGTCTGGATTTTGTCCGGGCCTCCTCTAGGGCGACTCGGGAAGAAAAAAGAGTAAGTGGACCTGAAATACTTTGCAGTAGTCATCACGATGGCAATTATTGACCGGGAAATCTTCTCTCTCGGGGTCTCAATGCAGTCGCCCATGTTCAGGAGGGTTTGGCAGAGTGGTACAGATTCATTGGGGGGGGGGGGGGTCACAAGACATCTGGACCATGATGTTACTGCATTGGGATGTTTGGCCAATTTCATGGGAGTTGGGCTTCGTGTGGGAGGAAACCGGAGCACCAGGAGGGACCCCCCCCCCCCCCACCAGGAGTATGAAGGGATGTTCATCCACCCAGATAGATTTAAGATTCCACTAGTGCACTGCCTTCTCCTGGCCAACCTCGTGTGATCATATACCGCATCATCAGAGGGGAGATAAAGGCGCACGGGCGTTAATATCGAAGCTAAATTGGTGATCCATGCGTTTGCTCGGTGTGTCACGTATTGGATTCCCAAGTCGTGCGTTTAACCGGTCGCATGTGATACTGTATCTGACCCGATCTTTGGCTTCCCCCAGGTCGACTCAGCCTTAAATTATTACCGCATCTGGCACGGTGTGTATAAACACCGGCACTTGGTGAGACAAAGACGGTCGGGCGTGGTGCTGGCTACAGCAACCCCATTCGCGTACCAGCCTCAATAGGCGCTCGCTAACAGCACGCACGCCAAACATGCGCGTGCATGGGTAGGTATGCGATGCACGGTATGTGTACGTTGTGTACTCTCGTGTGTGTATATACGGGTACAATGCAATACAATTAAGCATGGAGAGATGCACGCTTGGAATTACTACACCGAAAGTCGTCAGAGAACGCACGCACGTTAGAGACATCGTCTCGACGGTTAAAAAAAAGTAAGTGGGCTTGGGCAGGAAAGGGAATCGTGATGATGATGATGGCCGGACATCGTGAGAGTGGCAGTCAAAACTCGGAAGAAAAAAAAACACGCCCGAAGGGGACATGCACCGCGGTGATGAAACGATGAGATGAGTTCGCGTGTGCAGGAGCGAGATGCAAATGTGGGATGACGACAGCTTGCGGAGGGGAGGCCTTCATCCAGCAGTGGATAAATTATGACTGGAGGTTATAGTACTGCACTGGTGTGTACACACACACACGAGTGAGTGAGTGTGAATGTATCTATGATTGAGTGTCCGCTGTGTCTGTGTACAAGTACGAGTGCCCCAACTTGGCTGTCCCATCACAAACAGCAGTTGTAGATTTGTGAACACAAAGACAAAAAGAGACACGTGCGCCTGTCTTACACAACCAGAAAGCAGCACGCACGCGCACGCACGCACGCGCGCGCTCTCTCGCATTCTCCAACTGAGTTCAACTTTCACGCGGTTTGTCAACGTGCAAAAATGGTCACGGTTCGTCCGTGCCTGAATTTTGTTTTATTTGTTCTTGCAGCGAACAATGGGGACGTACTGTAATTGCTATTGTTACGGCACTGCCGTCACCGCCGTTTGCAGGCAAAGGGGGGTGGGGGGGGTCGCGTTCATTGTCGTACGTCCGGTACCCCTTTGGCATCCCCCCCCCTCTCTCACCCGTCTCGCTCACGCGAGAGAGACGGGGGGCCTCTGGAATTCACGTTTCCTGCCCTCAGCTCCATTTTAGCCCAAACACAATCATGCACACACGGACGCATACATACACACGCGCATGCACGCGATCCTTGCACATGCTTACAAAGTGTCACGCGTACATGGACGTGCACACGTGCACGTCCATGTACGCGTGCACACGCTGACACATACAAAGACACGCACATATACATGCAATACATGCACATGCGTACGTGCACACGTGCACACATGCACACATACAGCAACACTAATACACTCACATAGTCTACACATACAATACATACACGTAGAATACATGCACGTACTTACAGTATCACACGTGCGTGCGTGCATGTATGTACACAGAGCAACACAAACACACACAAAATTCACTTAGAACACATACACTCACATATCACAAACGTAGTCCCACACACACGCATTCACACACGCACACTGTACAGATACTAGCATGCGTACGCATGCAGATTTCACATTCAAACGCACGTATCCCTTACACATACGTTCGCACACACCAACATGTACACGTACGTGCAGACACTGGTTTCGTAGCCACGAATTCACCCCAGAGAGCCTCACAGAGTCTCAAGGACTCATTTTCAGGAGGGCCCTGCATTGGAATGTTTTGACAATTACTTGAATGTTTGGTATGTGGGAGGAAACCAGAGCACGCCGAGAAAACCCCCAGACCGCTGGGGCAAATGCTGTGAGC